CGTGCGTCCGGGAGGCCCCCCGCAGCGCCCCCCATGGTCTTACTCCCTGACTAGCCCACCCCACACCTGTTTTGAGCAGCTCCTAAGAGCAGATTTAGAATGAGGGAGGCATCTGCCCAGGCCTTTTCTGCTCAGCTGAGAAGCCAAGGGGGCCCCCATCTCTGCATCTGCCCATGGGGTAACCCCCCCCCCCCCCCCCTCTGGCTCAGCCTCCCTCCTTGCTCCCACTGACCTGGGCCTGACCTGCGGGCCCCCCCTGGCTTTGTGCTGATTTACCTTCAAACAGCAACCTGAGGGGACGTGGTGGCCTTTTACAGCTGAGGAAACCAAGAGGCGGAGTAACGCCCACGGCGGGGTGACCAGCTGCCTCGGTTGGACCGGGACTGAGGGGTTTCAGTGGGAAAACCGGGGATCACCCTACCTCAAGGCCACACATCTTACAGGCCACCGTGTCTGAGTCCAAAGTCTGGCAGGCAGGCTCCAGAGGCCACGCTCAGCAGCACCGAAGTGTATTTCCCTCAGTCGGGACTTCCCCCACCTGCCCGGCCCTCGCTGGGCCCCTCAGCTCATGCATCTGACCCAGTTCAGACCCGCCAGGAGTGTCCTGTGAGAAGCAAGACAGGTCTCTGGGCTCGGCCCCTCCCCGGTTGTGGTCAGGCGGAGGGAACCCCCGCGGTCCACCCATCAGCCCCTTACCCTCTGCCTGCAGGGAAGGCTGGGTTCCCACCGGGGAGCCACTCGCCCCCTACTACCAGCTGTGTCACTCTGCTTCTTCTTTTTTTTTTTTTTTAATATATTTTATTGATTTTTTACAGAGAGGAAGGGAGAGGGATAGAGAGCCAGAAACATCAACGAGAGAGAAACATTGATCAGCTGCCTCCTGCACACTCCCCACTGGGGATGTGCCCACAACCAAGGTACATGCCCCTGACCGGAATCGAACCCGGGACCCTTGAGTCCGCAGGCCGACGCTCCATCCACTGAGCCAAACCGGTTCTGGCCACTCTGCTTCTTGGAGCTCAGTTGCCCTCACCTGCGAAGTGAGGCTGATAAAACCTGCCTTCTGGGTGCTGGGAGGACTCCGGACAATGTAGGCAAGGCGGGCACACATACAGAATCGTTATTGTTGCTTATTAATGTGCTAATTACAGCAAGCGACTCCACCAAAAGCTTCCTCCCTCGGGAGGGGAACTGTACTGAATGCTTCCCACATCAAAGACTAAAGACTCGATGCCGTGTTTTCCTTTCAGGTAAAGATCTGCGTTTCAGAGAGGTGGTGACCTGCCCAAGGTCACAGCAGTCAGGGTCAGGGCCAAGGGCTCTGCACTCTTGCAGGACTTACTTCAGCTAAGGACAGTGGGTGGCGGGATGGGGAAACTAAAGCACAGGGTAGGGAGAGATTGTCGAGGTGCCCACAGGCTGCCAGCTCCCCTGCCTGCCTCCCAGACAGGCTGGTCCTCTCCTTGCCCAAGGTGGCTGGACACGGTATAGGAAAAAGTCCTTTGCTTAGGCCAGTCTGCTCTCCCCCCTAGTTGGCCGGCTGCCCGTACCCGCTGCCAGCCACTGTTCCCTGTCAGCCAGCCAAGGCATGGAGCGGTCCAGGACATTGTGTTCAGAAAGAGGGCCAAGTGGGCCCCCCTCCGACTGGTGGCCCCTGACCTCCCGTCCTGTCCCTCCGGGCCTCAGGCCAACCTGGCCTGGCCCTGGCCCTGGCGTGAAAAGGAGGCCACAGCTGCCCTCTCAGCGGCCAGGACTGTGCCCCCTGCTACGGCCCATGCCCTCTCCCCAGAAGACAAGGAAATCCTGGGAGACCGGCCCACAGGGCGCCTCTCAGGAGAAACCAGCGGGGCTCCTGAGATGCCTGTTCTCCCGCCCTTGGTAGCTTTGCTCTGCCTGTCTCCAAATCCAGCCGAGCCAAGGTGAGAGGCCGCTCAGGCAGAGAACCAACTGTGTGTGCCCAGGTGAGCTGGGCACAGCCTTATATCCTCACTGAAGGAAGTTGAGGCTGGGATTCCTGCAAAGCCACGCAGCCAAGCTGAGACCCCACGGAGTGGGGGCAGGACAGGGCTGAGGGTCAGTGACCATGGGGAGGGGGCAGTTTCAGAGAGGCAGGGGTACGTGAGACCCTCCTGGTCTTAGTTTAACTGCCCAGACACACCTTCCTTCACCCCCTCCCCCAGGTGGAGGAGAGCCCCCACTGCTGTTTTTCCCTGAGGACATTTCCCCGGTGGCTTTTCTTGTTGGTCAGATGGATTGTTCACCTTGGCCTCTAGAACATGGACCGGTGAGGACAGGGCTCCGTTTCCCCCGGCTGCACTTCCAGTGCCAAACAGGCTCTCGCACACAGTAGGAGGTCAATACATATTCATCGGATGAACGATTAAACTTTGGCTGTGCCTTTCAGTACTTTGGACACGTCTCTCGCTTCTTTCTTTTTGAAATAGCGTTATTGAAGAATAATGGGCATACAGTGAGCTGCACGTCCTTAAAGATTATAATTTGATATGTTTTGACACATTATACACCCATGACCGTCATCACCACAATCAAGATAATGAATATATCCATCACCCCCAAAGGCTTCCTTGTTCCCTTTTTTAATCCCTCCCTCCTTATTCATCGGATGAACGATTAAACTTTGGCTGTGCCTTTCAGTACTTTGGACACGTCTCTCGCTTCTTTCTTTTTGAAATAGCGTTATTGAAGAATAATGGGCATACAGTGAGCTGCACGTCCTCAAAGATTATAATTTGATATGTTTTGACACATTATACACCCATGACCGTCATCACCAGAATCAAGATAATGAATATATCCATCACCCCCAAAGGTTTCCTTGTTCCCCTTTTTAATCCCTCCCTCCTGTCCCTAGGCCAGTAATGGCGAACCTTTTGAGCTCGGCATGTCAGCATTTTGAAAAACCTAACTTAACTCTGGTGCCGTGTCACATATAGAAATTTTTTGATATTTGCAACCATAGTAAAACAAAGACTTATATTTTTGATATTTATTTTATATATTTAAATGCCATTTATTTTTTATTTTTTTTAAATGCCATTTAACAAAGAAAAATCAACCAAAAAAATGAGTTCGCTTGTCACCTCTGACACGCGTGTCACGGGTTCGCCGTCACTGCCCTAGGCAATGCTAAACTGCTTTCTGTTGCTACAGGATTAGTTTGCATTTTCTAGAATTTTCTGTAAATGGATTCAAACAGTACCCATTGTTGGTTTGTTTGTGTTTTGGTCTGGCTTTCAGCATTATTACTTTGAGAGTCCTTCCTGTTGTTGCATGTATTATTTCTTCATTTCTTTTTATGGCTGAGGAATATTCCATCGTGTGACTGTATAGGAGTTGGTTCAGCCTTTCAGGCCTTGAAAGACATTTGGTTTGTTTCCAGTTTGGGGCTAACAAATAAAGCCGCTGTGAACATTTGTGTACGAAGTTTTGTATGGACACATATTTGCTTTTCTTATGGGTAAATACTTAGGAACTGTTTGAATTACATTGCAGGTGTATGTTTAACTTTTTTTAATTAAAAATTTTGTGTAAAAATATATATTTTGATTCTAGAGAGAGGAAGGGAGAGGGAGTGAAAGTGAAAAACATTGATTGGCTACCTCCTGCACCCTCCCCTCACTGAACCCCAAACCTGAGCATGTGCGCTGACCAGTAAGTGAACCCACAACCTTCTGGTGTATGGGATGACACTCCAACAAACTGAGCCACACCGGCCAGGGCATAACTTTTAAAGAAGCTTCCAAATTATTTTCTAAAGTGGTTGGATTAGAGATCAACCAAAGGACTTATATGTAAGCATATAGGCCTAACCAATGGACACAGACAACAGAGGGGTGAGGGCATGAGTGGGGGGGGATAGGGGGTAATTTGGGGATAAGGACACATATGTAATAACTTAATCAATAAAGAAATTAAAAAAAATAAGTGGTTGGACCATTTATACTCCCACCAGAAGTGCATGAAAGTTACTCATTCCTCTACATCTTTTAAAAAATATATTTCTGTACCTTTTAAAATATATATGTATTTTTTATTGATTTCAGAGAGGAAGGGAGAGGGAGATAGAAACATCAATGATAAGAGAGAATCATTGCTTGGGCTGCCTCCTGCATGCCCCCTACTGGGGATGGAGCCCACAACCCAAGCATGTGCCCTGACCAGGAATAGAAGCCTGGCCTCCTGTTCCATAGGCCGGAGCTCAACCACTGAACCACATGGCCGGGCAGTTTCTCTAACACTTGGCGTGATCCAGTCTTCTCCATTTTAGCTCTTTTATAGGTGTGGCTCCTTGTGACTTCAGTTTGCATTTTCCTAATGACTAATGATGTCCAGCATCTTTTCACATGTTTATCTGCCATTAGCATTCTTTGTTAAGTGTCATTTCTGATTTGGGCTTATTTCTTACTAGAGGCCCGGCGCATGAAATTCATGCATGGGTACGGTTCCTAGGCTTGGCCTGCGATTAGGGCCATCTTCCTGAGCTGCCTGCAGCCAGCCCCGTCCCCGGTCCCCCGCCCCCCCCCATGTTAATTTTA